GGCTTTAACTATACGGACCTTTGTTGGCAAGGTGACATCTCTACTTCTCAAGATGCTGTCTAGGCCTGTCATTGCCCTTCTCCCAAGAAGCAGGCGTCTTTTAATTTCGTGGCTGCTGTCACCATCTGCAGTGATCATGGAGCCCAAGAAAGTAAAATCTCTCACTGCCTCCATTTCTTCCCCTTCTATTTGCCAGGAGGTGATGGGACCAGTGGCCATGATCTTCGTTTTTTTTGATATTGAGCTTCAGACCATATTTTGCGCTCTCTTTTTTCACCCTCATTAAAAGGTTCTTTAATTCCTCCTCACTTTCTCCCATCAAGGTTGTGTCATCTGCATATCTGAGGTTGTTGATATTTCTTCCGGCAATCTTAATTCCAGCTTGGGATTCATCCAGCCCAGCCTTTCGCATGATGTATTCTGCATATAAATTAAATAAGCAGGGAGACAAAATACAGCCTTGTCGTACTCCTTTCCCAATTTTGAACCAATCAGTTGTTCCATATCCAGTTCTAACTGTAGCTTCTTGTCCCACATAGAGATTTCTCAGGAGACAGATGAGGTGATCAGGCACTCCCATTTCTTTAAGAACTTGCCATAGTTTGCTGTGGTCGACACAGTCAAAGGCTTTTGCATAGTCAATGAAGCAGAAGTAGATGTCTTTCTGGAACTCTCTAGCTTTCTCCATAATCCAGCGCATGTTTGCAATTTGGTCTCTGGTTCCTCTGCCTCTTCTAAATCCAGCTTGCACTTCTGGGAGTTCTCAATCCACATACTGCTTGAGCCTTCCTTGTAGAATTTTAAGCATAACCTTGCTAGCGTGTGAAATGAGTGCAATTGTGCGGTAGTTGGAGCATTCTTTGGCACTGCCCTTCTTTGGGATTGGGATGTAGACTGATCTTCTCCAATCTTCTGGCCACTGCTGAGTTTTCCAAATTTGCTGGCATATTGAGTGTAGCACCTTAACAGCATCATCTTTTAAAATTTTAAATAGTTCAGCTGGAATACCATCACTTCCACTGGCCTTGTTATTTGCAGTGCTTTCTAAGGCCCATTTGACTTCACTTTCCAGGATGTCTGGCTCAAGGTCAGCAACCACACTACCTGGGGTGTACGAGACATCCATATCTTTCTGGTATAATTCCTCTGTATATTCTTGCCACCTCTTCTTGATGTCTTCTGCTTCTGTTAGGTCCTTACCACTTTTGTCTTTTATTATGGTAATCTTTGTACGAAATGTTCCTTTCATATCTCCAATTTTCTTGAACAGATCTCTGGTTCTTCCCATTCTGTTGTTTTCCTCTATTTGTTTGCATTGCTCATTTAAGAAGGCCTTCTTGTCTCTCCTTGCTGTTCTTTGGAAATCTGCATTCAATTTCCTGTATCTTTCACTATCTCCCTCACATTTTGCTTGCCTTCTCTCCTCCGCTATTTGTAAGGCCTCGTTGGACAGCCACTTTGCTTTCTTGCATTTCCTTTTCATTGGGATGGTTTTCGTTGCTGCCTCCTGTACAATGTTACGAGCCTCCATCCATAGTTCTTCAGGCACTCTGTCCACCAAATCTAAATCCTTAAACCTGTTCGTCACTTCCACTGTGTATTCATAAGGGATTTGACTTAGATTGTATCTTACCGGCCCAGTGGTTTTTCCTACTTTCTTCAGTTTAAGCTTGAATTTTGCTATAAGAAGCTGATGATCTGAGCCACAGTCAGCTCCAGGTCTTGTTTTTGCTGACTGTATAGAGCTTCTCCATCTTTGGCTGCAGAGAATATAATCAATCTGATTTCGATGTTGCCCATCTGGTGATGTCCATGTGTAGAGTCGTCTCTTGTGTTGTTGGAAAGCGTGTTTGTGATGACCAGCTTGTTCTCTTGACAGAACTCTATTAGCCTTTGCCCTGCTTCGTTTTGATCTCCAAGGCCAAACTTGCCAGTTGTTCCTTTTATCTCTTGATTCCCTACTTTAGCATTCCAGTCCCCTATAATGAGAAGAACATCCTTCTTTGGTGTCACTTCTATAAGGTGTTGTAAGTCTTCATAGAACTGGTCAATTTCAGTTTCTTCAGCACCAGTAGTTGGTGCATAAACTTGGATTACTGTGATGTTAAAAGGTCTGCCTTGGATTCGTATCGAGATCATTCTATCATTTTTGAGATTGCATCCCAGTACAGCTTTCGCCACTCTTTTGTTGACTATGAGGGCCACTCCATTTCTTTTACGGGTTTCTTGCCCACAGTAGTAGATGTGATGGTCATCCGAACTGAATTCGCCCATTCCCGTCCATTTTAGTTCACTGATGCCCAGGATGTCAATATTTATTCTTGCCATCTCATTTTTGACCACCTCCAACTTACCCAGGTTCATGGTTCTTACATTCCAGGTTCCTATGCAATATTTTTCTTTACAGCATTGGACTTTCCTTTCGCTTCCAGGCATATCCGCAACTGAGCGTCCTTTCGGCTTTGGCCCAGCCGCTTCATCAGCTCTGGATCTACTTGTACTTGCCCTCCGCTCTTCCCCAGTAGCATGTTGGACGCCTTCCGACCTGAGGGGCTCATCTTCCAGCGTCATAACTTTTATATGCCTGTTGTCTTTGTCCATGGAGTTTCCTTGGCAAGGATACTGGAGTGGCTTGCCGGTTCCTCCTCCAGGTGGATCACGTTTGGTCAAAACTCTCCACTATGACCTGTTCATCTTGTGTGCCCTGCTCGGCATAGTTCATAGCTTCTCTGAGTTCTTCAAGCCCCTTCGCCACGACAAGGCAGTGATCCATGAAGGGGGTATTCAGCATATAGCATATAAATAAAGTAAAAGGCACCTTTGCTTACAGGTGTATGCATCCGACCCCATTTTGCCTGCACACCATGAATGAGAGGAGCCACCTGAGTGAAACAATGACACTGACTTTAAACTGAAAAGTAATTAGATAAGTTTTGAAGAAGCCACACACAAGCATTTACAAACGGATCAACAAAAACGACTGCTCCATAAAGACACTGTCAGGAAAGTCTGAATCCACTTCAGCCACCCAACAACATATATTTAAAACCTCAGCAGGAGGAATAGTAAACAAGAATGCAGTTTGGTGAAAGTATTTCTAAAAAGCTTCATCTGAGGCTAGAGCTGCTCACTATGTGCGATGCAGTCAAGGTACCCCCATGTTGTGTTCTGCTACTCTCCTCTGTGATATTTAGGAAATAGTCACTCCATGTTCATCCCACCAGTATCAACATGGGTGGGAAAACATGCAACACAGCACACATAAATCTCTGGTCATTGAAAAACTTCATGTCACGTGTAATGTGGATTATCAGCCTGACTCTGAAACAGCCTCAAAGCCACTGGACAGCAAGGGTCTTGGAGTGTTTTACTCTGAGTAGACCTACTGAACTTAATAAGCAGGACTAAGTTAAGTCCATTAATGTCATTAATTTAAAACGTCACCGAATGCTCAACCCACAGGGTTTTAAGCCTCCTGTACAGCTATTTCGTGCTTTTTACATTTTCTAACATAAATATATTGGGTGGGGAGGGGAGGATCAAGAAATCTTAAATGGCAAACAGAACAGGAAAAACATGTAAATGTAAATTTAATGAATATGTTGTTCTAAATTTGTTATAGCAGCGGTGAGGAACCCCTGGCTTAAAGGCCTAATTTGGGTAGCCATTTAGCTTGCAAGACTGTCTTCTTCAAATCACACCTCCCTGCCCTGCACTAGACACTACATAGGGCATCAGATGTGGGGCAGGCGGAAACTTCCAAGCAAGAATTGGGAGCCTTAAATTGTTCCCAGTTTTTCCCTTGGCAAGAGGGGTTTTCTGTCTTTGCCCTGTAAAATGTGAGAGGTGACTGGTGATGGGGCGGTGCATCTGATTAAACATGGGGGGGGGGGGAGGTGAGAGAGGGACTACAGTATAATAGCTATAGTACTATTGGAAATGCTAGTTTGGCTCCAGCAGTGCCACTCTGACCTTGACCCCACCCTGGTAAGAAGCAGCGACACCACTGCCAAGAGGCCAACTCTGATGTGCTGCCCCGCCAACCTCTCCTGACTGGCACCACACATTTAACGCAAGGAAAGCAACTAATATAAAACATCCCTACACACTGGTGGAGGAAGAGGAGTGTGGGGGGAGCGCACCACTCCCGGCAGAGCGATCCCAGCAGGGTGCCATCACAGCTGCCCCCCTGCACTGGGCGCTCTGCCCCCAGGACACGCGCCAGCCCCACCCCCATCTGCCCTCTCCCCCCCCCCCCAGCATGAGGCCACTGTCCCTACAGTAATCATAGGATCATCTGCCCCACATGCAATAAAACAGGGGTCAGCAAACTTTTTCAGCAGGGGGCCAGTCCACTGTCCCTCAGGCCCTGTGGGGGGCCGGACTATATATTTTTTGGGGGGGGGGGATGAACAAATTCCTATGCCCCACGGAGATGCATTTTAAATAAAAGGACACATCCTACTCATGTAAAAACACACTGATTCCCGGACCATCCGTGGGCCGGACTGAGAAGGCAATTGGGCCAGATCCTGCCCCCAGGCCTTAGTTTGCCTACCCATGCAATAAAACATATCTCTCTTGTATCACTATCTACAGCCACAGCAGCCAGCAGCTGTAACTCTCCAAGGGTGTGACTTCTCCTGAGCCAGATGGATGCCAGAACTGTAGAGCTGGAAGGGACCCCATGGGTCATCTAGTCCAACCCCTTGCAATGCAGGAATCCTTTTGCCCAAGGTGGGCCTCGAACCCAGGACCCAGAGATTAAGAGTCTCATGCTCAAGCAACCCAACCACAAAAGATAACCAATTATATTACTATTGTTTCCAGCCATCAAACTCATGGGCTGCAGCTCACCTTGGGCCAGCCATTCTCTCTCTCCACCAGCCTCGCTGGGGTTTTCCTCCTCGGAGCAAGAGGGGCGTCAGTGGGACCAGTGAGGGAGGATGCGCTGCTCTGAGGATGCTCCGAGAAGAGCCGGCAGGGACAGGCCAGCGGCGAGGCGGACCCAAGCGCACCAGCCACGCTTCCCGGCCGACAGCCCCCCGAAGGGAGAACCCGACGCACCCAGCGCCGCCACCCCCGCCTGGCTGTTCCCGCTCAGGTCCGCTTCCTGCACCGAAAGCCTCTCGCCCCCCCCCCCCCGCTGGCTCACCTTGGCCGCGCGCGAGGCCAGGAAGCCGAAGGACCCCGAGCGTAGCTTCCGCCGCAGCAGCCGGGGGGGGTCTCTCCGGTTCCCCCCCCCCCGGCTCGAGCGCGGAAATCCGGCCAGGAGACCCCGGCCAGGGATCCCCCGGAGCAGATCCCTGGATCAGGAGACGCCCTCTCCCTCCCAGCCCCCCCCCCCGAAGGCGCCGGCTGGGCTCACCGGGGCGGCGGCGGCGGGGGAAGCCGCTGGGAGTGGGCGCGAGGTGGGTCTCCGGCCGCCGATGCCGCCTCTCGCTGCCGCCATGGGAGCCTCTCGCCCGGCCTGGCCGGCTCCGCCGCCTTCCTGCCTCCTGCCGCCGCCGCCGCCGCCGCTCGGCTGGGGGTTCGGTCCGGCGCGGCGGGCGAGGGCGGTCCGTGCGCGCCGAGGGAGATGCGCTGCGCCCGGCCGGGAGGGAGGGAGGGAGGGAGGCGGCTTCTTCCTCGCGCGCAGCGGGGGCCGGAGGAGGCGGGGGGCGAAAGCCCAAAGCGGGGGGAGCGCGAAGCCTCGCTCCACTTCGCCCCCCGCCCCAAACCAGCTTGTGTGCTTGCAGGATCGTAGGCATGGGAGCGGCTGGTGCTGTGTGAAACGCGCATCTCCCCATTGTAGGCGCGGGGGGGGGGCCGATCTGAATCTTGCTGTATTGGCAACTAATAAGAATATTTGCGGGGAGGGAAGCATGTGCCAAAGTCAACCAGTGGGGAGGAAAGTTTAAAACGGAAGAACAAGACACCCCTGAGCATCTGCAGAGTGCTCGAGGGCTCCAAAAGGGCAGGCGCCTCCCTTCCTCCGATTCTATAATCAGTCACAGAACTACAGAGTTGGAAGAGACCTCAGGGGTCATCTAGTCCAACCCTCTGCAATGCAGGTCTTTTTGCCCGATGCTTGGCTCGAACTCACCACCCTGAGATTCAGTTTCAAGCTTTACTGACTGATTCCTGGGACTTCTGTGGAATATGATTTTTAGCATATCTTTGTTTCTGCAGAAGCGGATTCAGGGCAGCACTACTGGTTCCCCAGCACTGGGCTCTGATGCACCAGATGCGCCAGATTTTGGCCTTGCGCAGGCTGTTGCCAAAAATTTGAAAGACCAAAGCGCCCCCACCCCTGGAAATGGCATTTAAATTAGTCAGCTGTTTTTGTACAAAAATGTTGTTTTTTTTAATACTGTGATTTTATGCTGTGAACTGGCCTAAGATCTACAGGTACAGGGCAGTGTACAAATTTAATAAATAAAACAAAGTCAAACATCTTCATGTATCCCTGGATGGGAGCATAAGGCTGTCAGTGCCATGGCAAATGTGTGGCTGTGGCATCTTAACTCAGCACCAGATTGTGCTCTCGAAAAACAACAACCCTGAGTTAGAATACTGGTTGGAAGGGGAAGAGAAGGAATGGAATGGGATCCAAAACAGGCCAGCTGCAATCCTGAGCAGGAGCACCCAGCTCTGTCTGCAAGAGTCAGCTGGAGGCGCCATTTGTTATTAACTGCGCGATAAGACAGAGGCTCCACAATGATGCATCCCGGTTCCTGCAAATTCTTTTTATGGCTGGGCTGGTGATGGAAACCACCCAAGTATCTAACATAGGCAGCAATTGTATGGAAAAGCAAGGCTTTCCAAGAGACACCACACACTCCCATGGATTTCCATGAAAGGTCTTTACATTTGCCCAGGATTTAAAAAAAACTTTTCAGTGTATTATGCTGCTTTCAATGTATTATGCTGCTTTCTCAATTTCTGATATTTTAATGCTGCTTAATATTTGTTGCTTTTAGTTTGTTTCTTTAATTTCCCAGTTGTTTCATCACAATTTTTATATGCAGCCCTGCAAGTGTGTGTATTGAAGAGCAGTTCTTGCATACATACATGATGTGGTGAGGCGAAGTGGAGAACTCTGTGGACTCCCCTAGTTACAAGAATTATGTCTCTACGCAAGTGCATGCATGCAACAGTTTTTGCTTTTGGTTGTTTATTGCTGTTTTATAAGAGCAATTCCAAAGATCAAGTGCGGTGATTACATTGCTTTCTGCTCTGCTGAGCTGTGGCATCGTCGCCATTGGACAAGGTAGAAGGAGGGAGAGAGGGCGCACAGGAAAGAGCACAGGCGAAAATATACCAAATAGTCCGCTAACATTTTTTAAAGCAGAAATGGATGTGTTTAGCCAGCAGCTTTCTGTGATCAGTAACCAAGGCACACACGTCTTTTGTTTCCACAGTTTCTGATTTTATCATGAGCTGGGGTATTTTGAGTTAATATTTAAAATGTTTAAAACATTTTCATGCTTGTGGGTGTTCTGTGCTTACTACAGAGATTCAAATGGTTGGGCAAGTTGGGGAAAAGGAACTACAGGATTGCAGCACCTGAATATGAATTGCTTTTCTGCAAGCATATTTAAGTTAGGAGAAGCATCAGAAAATCCAATCCAAGCAAACTCTAGAGCCCACCGGGATAAAAAAAAGGTGGGATTTATTTAGTTATTTATTTATTTAATCAATCAATCAATCAATCAATCAGTCTCCAGGAACATATTTCTTGAGAACTAGAGGAGAGTGCAGAATCCTGAAGAATAACACAGTCAAATACCAGATCAAGTCAGATACTATTTTGTAAAATAAGTCTGAAGGTTTTGTATACTCGTGCATGCTATTATTTTTACTACTATTAGTATTTTTTAATGAAATTAAGTATAACTTGTATGAACGTGAGATGGTTGAGAGAATCTTTGAAAAGGTGTCTCTGCAAGGAGTCAGGAAAATCAAGCTCCAGCCATGGACAGCTACAAACATGAATTTGTTTTAAGTAAAACATCAGATTAAAGGAAAACATTCATTGGAAGAGGAAACTCTGCATTGCAAGACATCTGTGCCCATTTGTTTGGACCTCAAAAGTTATACAGTAAGGCCTTCAAATACAAAATCATGATAATGACCCTTCCTTAGTCAAGTGCCAGGCAAAATGTTCTAATGGGGCCGAGTGGACAAGAATTGCTACACTACTTTCCTGACAGGGAAGGGCAAGGCAGTGGGGGGTTGGCACAGTATGAACACACCAGCAAAGCCAATCGTGTCCACTGCAACAACCTCCCCACTGCCTTGCCCCTCCCACTTCCAGTAAGCAGCAACTATGCGTCTGCTAGGAAGCAACCACAGTGGCTCTGCCCCAATTGGGGAGCCACTTCAGAGAGACGCAGCAAACTGATGTGGAAACTGGGGAAATCGGAAACCAGAACTGACAGATTCATCCATCCAGAGCCAAGGATTTCGCTGCTGCTTCCAAGCCACCTTGGTCATCCGAGAATGAAGGTCAAAGCCTCCAATGAATGACTCTGTGAAATGAAACAAATGGTGAAATTCCTGGTTTGGGCAAGATCCTTTTTGTTTATGCCATTAAAAAATAAAAACCAGTTCCCAACATTCTGTTCTACCCTTGTGGCACAACAAGCAACAGAGATCAAGGTGTGCAAACGGAAAAGTGAAGTGCCAAACTTGGATGAAGAAGAAACCTTGCCTCTGCTCTTGACAATGTGTGGCCCAGCCCTCGCTGAGATGGCTCCTGCAGGAGGTTGCGTCCCCAGAGAGCCCTTTAATAGACACGCCCTCCCTCTGCACATGTGCCGCATATCAGAAGGACAGGCATTTTGCTGGTTAAGAATAATCTCCAGTTGGTGCTCCTGTTGGTGTTGATAGAGCTGCTTTGTGAGCCCATTTCCCTCCCGGAATCCTTGCTCAGTAATTTTCAATGCTGCATCAGCAGGAAAGGAAAGCGAACAGAAAGGGAGGGAAGGGCACACTCACACTGGCCTCCTGCTGGGAGGGATTTTTGAGCGCTTCATCCCAGAAGCCGGCCAAGCTCCTGAACAATCCAACCACTCAGGACAGCAGTTCATGCAGCTGGTGAATTGAGCTCATGCTATCATATATCTGTTAAGTCTCTAAGGTGCCACAAGACTTTTGGTTATTCGTGCTGCAGCAAAGTACTGTAACATGGACCTCTGGAAATGTAAACAAGAGCTTTGATTGCTGTGAAATCCATAGTGCTGTCAGTGAGAATGGCGCTGCATGAACAACAATGGATTGAATGCTTAAATATTGTACCTGGATATGTCGGATTCTTCCCAAAGTCCTCATACTTCCAAACACCTAGGTGCCAAAATGAAAGACTGGATATTCTAATTACTTTGGGGGTTGCTGGTAATCTTATCTTTTAGAAATATGTTTTGTCTATTTTGATCTCACCTCATTACTGCTACTGGCTGTTAATACAACCTACTTACTGCATATTAATTTTATTGGTTTTATTTAGGCTGGTTAATTGGTTAAATCAACCTGTTTTTAAGTTACATTCTAGCAGATTTACATATTACCAAATCCTTAACCTAAAGTTCTTTTTGAGATATTGCAATTTTATAACTCAAAGTTACCACTAATTCTTACCAAGAAGGCCGTTCTTCCCCCTTTCCCCATCACAGTAACACATCAAATCCAAAATACCTAAAAATAAATAAACAAGTACGAATAATTAAATGCTTCTCATTCTCCGTACCTGATCTCTAGCAGCTGCCACAAGCTGCTCAAGGGAGGAGGGCTGCGGCCATGGAGAGGCCATGGGATGCCCCCATTGCAGCCACTGCTGGCGCCACCACAGTTGCTCAGATGAGCACTGACTCCTCCTCATCCCTGAGATTGGCAGCAGTGGCACTAACTGGAGAAATAGAGACATTCCGGGATCAAACCAGAAGCCAGGACGACTTTCATAATTCTGGGACTGTCCCTGGAAAATAAGGGACACTTGGAGGGTTTGTAATCAGCTGCTGAACGGAAAATAATATAGCGCAACTGACTTTCGGGGTTGGTGTGTTGTGCGACAAGCACACAGAGTGCAATGAGATTGAGTGTTGGGGGGGAGCTTGGTTAATTTCATTGTACACAGGCTGTACATTGACAATAAAGGTATTATTATTATTATTATTATTATTATTATTATTATTATTATTATGTGCAGGGGCTCCTTGGCAGGCAAGCTGATGTTGCAAGGGCTACAAACATTTGGAACCCACTGGTGGTGTCAGGCCTCACCAAGCACTGCACAACACAAACCTTGTACGTCAAGTTCAGGAAATTGCAGGCAGGCTGAGTACAGATGTGCACTAAAAGAAGAAATGTTCGCTTGCAATCCATGTTTCATCCCACTGCTTATGAGTTGGTGGATTTATGCTGATTTAATGTATCTTGATAACACTACTTTGCAAATTATTTTTAGCTCGCTGTACATTATCTTTCCTTGGCCTGCCACATGGCACTGTTTCATTTTTATGGGTTGTAGCTTAAAGTGCAGGCGTCTTCTTCTTCTTCTTCTTCTTCTTAGTCCTTTTATTTAAATACTTTTATCATTGCTGTAGATCATTCCATGACAGCCAGCCACAGAAGGCACATCTATTACCAGAAGCAATGGTGATGAGTGGGTTAAGGGGGGTGGCTGGCCTTTTATGTACAAGTCTAATGAGTTTGTCATTTGAATCTCCCAGCTCCCTTATTGCTTTGCTGGCTCCGTTGAGAGCGCTCCACCACAGGAAAAGTGTTTGTTATATAGCAGCAGAACATGGTATCTGCATGAAGCTTATTCACTGATCCACCATGTGATGGAGGAGGCCCTGTTTCAGCAGAAGAAGACGAGGTCTGGGAGGGAGCTCAGTCGGTTGAGGGACGTCAGTGTCTGTGCCATTGGCTCACACAAGCAAAAGAGGATGGTGGGAAATGGAGCATGTGAACACCTTCTTGAGCTACAGTTAGCTGTGAGTAAGGAAAAGGAAACAGCAGGGGAGTCTGGGGAAATACTGATAAAAAGCAGAGGAAAGAAGCAGCTCAAGAGGAAACCCTTATCGCTCTCTCCTGAAATGAAATTAACTGTGAAGGACAATCTCCCTGTTCTTTCTGCGTTACAAAATAAAAATAAAAAGAGCTGTACCCAGCTAGTCAAAATTATGAGCTAAGAACTGCTAAATTCTGCACCATGCACAATTTGTTCTGGTTTTGCTAATCATGGGGAGGAACAAGGGGCCATCGACACCCCACTCACAAGCACACCCTGCTGCTTCCTCACCAGCAGACATTGCCTAAAGCACACCTTTGAAAGCGTATATTTGCAACCAGGCTCTAAGTTCATTCTTTTGTTTAAATGGCCATAGTGGTGGAGGGTATTGTGGGATGTGGGGTTCTGCACCTAGTAGCCCATTTCCCCTTAGTAGCACATGTCCACAAAGAATTGCCTTGGGCAACTTTCTCAAAATCTCTGCTGCTGTTCACCTCAAGGAGGATGAAGAGCCCAGTTTGGTGTGACTGAGTCAGTGGGTGAAGCCCGTGTTGCTGACTCTTCAGCCTTTGCTTAAAACGGGGCTCATTGGACTTCATCTACCATCACCCCTGAGTCTGACCTTTCTGACAGGAGCTGGTGGGAGTTGGAGTCCCACCTGAGTTGGAGGGCTGCCAGCCCCTGGCTTAAAGCAGCCCTCCTGTGCAAGATTACTTGACAACTAGAGTGACAGTTCCCATGTCAAAACAACTGTGGGTGTTGCACCTAAAACTATGAATAACGTTGATCCCAGACAAGTAAATTTCCTTTGTCTCCATCTGTTCCCTTAACATAAATATTATCGGAGCCAATGCTGTTGACGCACAAATGCCTGCAGATCTGTGCTAGGTCTTCTCCCACCCCTGCCATCTACTTCTGAGGTTCAAAAGCAAATGTTTGTTTTATGAAGGAAGAATTGGACCCGTCTGTTGCGGGCAAGCAATGGGAGAGAAGTGGGGTGCTCTAGTAAAACGTAATTCAAGCCCACAGAGGGGACAGCTAGAATACAGTAGATGGTCATATCAAATAGGAGAAAGGGAATCAGTCTTGCTAGAAAAAACAAGTATTTGCAGAAAAACCTCTGAACAATATATGAGATTTTTTTTGTATGAAATATGAAAACATGGCAGCTGTACTGCTGCCCCCTGGCACATTCCTGAGTGCAACCCTAGCCATGATTACTCAGAAGTAAGACAATCAGATCCACTGTGAGGGAAAAAGAAGAGAGATGGAGGAGGAGGTAACTTGGAGTGGTCTCCACATCTAACATCTGATTTTGAGGATCTGGGGTGAAGATGCCAGCTAACCTGGCAATACTGCAGAGCATCATTTTATAGTTGTACAGTGGTACCTCGGGTTACAGACACTTCAGGTTACAGACTCCGCTAACCCAGAAATAGTACCTTGGGTTAAGAACTTTGCTTCAGGATGAGAACAGAAATCGAGCAGTGGCTGCGTGGCGGCAGCGGGAGGCCCCATTAGCTAAAGTGGTACCTCAGGTTAAGAACAGTTTCAGGTTAAGAACGGACCTCCGGAATGAATTAAGTTCTTAACCCAAGGTACCACTGTATTTGATGAAGTGGGCTTTGGCCAATGCAAGCTTGTAGCACAGCAAATTCGTTATCGTCAAGTTACTACAAGAGTTGTTGGTTTTTTAAAAATATGACAGCAGTTTGCTGTACATTCAGAGCAGAATCTATTTTGGAAAGAAGTAAGCCCCACTGCCATAAGTGATCACAAGATGTGGCACATGCACACAATTTGAATGGCAATGTTCATAAACGGGGGTGGGGGCTTTAATATTTTATTGGGGTGGCAAAGAGATCTTGGCCCCTAGGACTTGGCACCTACCTTAGCAAAGAAGTCTCTAGCATCAGTACATTGCACCCAGTACATTGCAGAACCGTCAGCTGATTGTGATCCTGAGTTTAGATTGCTTAAGTGTGAGAGCTTCTTGATAATGCCACAACAATTTACCACATGGTAGTTTTGAAATGTCTTTAGTCTTTAGCCTTCCGTCTTTAGGCTGTAGTCTTTAGTCTTTAGCCTTCCGTCTTTAGGCTGTAGGCCTCATGTAGCAGAGCTTACTTGCAAGTAATTTTTCTCTTGCCCATTGTGGGCATGAACCATGGCTGCTGAATATCATTTGATAGGAAGAGGGACAGATTGTCCAAATTCCACCAGATGGAAAAGGACAGAGTATTTTGAATGCACCATGTGTGTTTCTTTCTATCTTATACAGTGGTACTTCGGTTTAAGAACAGTCTTGTTTACGAACGATTCGGCTTACGAACTCCGCAAAACTGGACGTAGTGTCCTAGTTTGTGAACTTTACCTTGGTCTAAGAATGGAAACCAAAAGGTGGAAGGGCACCAGCGGCAGGAGGCCTCATTAGGGAAAGCGCGCCTCGGTTTAAGAACAGTTTTGGTTTAAGAATGGACTTCCAGAACAGATTAAGTTTGTAAACCGAGGTACCACTGTTAATTCCTTCCAGTACATGGTAGGCTGGTTTGGTGATAGTCAGCTTTATGAAGCCAGGAACCAGTGCTGTGGCTGCGCTTTCCTTCCTCGTCCATCCTCTCCTTGCATTCTTTCCCATTCTGATTTGGAACAATGAATTAGTCTATTTTAAATTTAAATAAATGATGATGATGTTCATGACTGGCAGAAACAGATACATGTGCAGTTGGCTGAAATCTGCCTCCAACCTTCAGTTTCCTGTCCTGCATCTCCAAGTCCGGAGGACAAACTCATTACACATTGCGCAGCCACAGCACCAGCTAGAATTAACTCAGTCACCACCATCTGTTTTAATGAAAGATTTATTGCTGGTGTCTGTTCTGCTGTGAAAACCCTGTGGTTCAACAGGTTAATGGCATTTCCTCAGCTTCAAAAACAATAGCCCACCTGTTCCTGATATTTCTCCATGGCACAAGTCTATATCAGTTTACGCAGTTTGCATGAAAAGAGACAACTGCAAATGCCAATTTCCCAAGCACTTCATGGCGGTCAAATATATACTTGGGAATCTAACAGGGTTACCAACTGATTTGGAAAACATCTCCATCTGGCCTGTTCTTTTCCTTTAAAAAGCAGTTGTGCTTTTAAAGAAAATACTTTTCACAGCACAGTATTATAATTACTACTCACGCCACCAGCAAAGGGGGACAAGACTCCTGTACATTTGAATACTTGTTATATAGAGGGGAATTTCTTGAGGTGCAGCTTTTCTCACCAGGGCGCAATGAGCTGTACCTGACAAAAAATTCCCCCTTCCATGAAAGGTGCAGATCCTGCAGGCGTGGCCTGGGAGATTTTGCTGCTTGAGCTGAAGCAGAACAGGCCGGCCCCAAATATGACGCCTGCTCCTCTTCTGCAGGCCCTGTGGAAGAAGAGAGGGAGGAACAATATAGTTTGACTATGCAGTTAAACACACTGCTCAACACTTAAACTTCCTCCTACATCTAACTTTAGCCCTCCTCCTCTTATCCTGGCCAAGCAAGGAGACCACAACTACAGGTGGCAGTGCAAGACCCGTGGGTCATATCTAATCCATTGATCTCAATGGTTCAACTTGGAGTATGACTAATGTTGGATTTTAATGGTACATGTGACCCAGGGCTGTCCCAAAACAATCTGGCACCTGAGGCAAACCACAAAATAGCACCCTCACTCCAACAAGGAAGAAGGGGTGAGTGAAGTTCTACATAAGGAACAGGTTTGGGGGATAAAGATCTACAATGGGAACAGGGGGGGGGGGGGACCAGCAGCATCTCTTATTCACCAAGAGGCTCTGCTGTAGAGACAGCATTGGCCAGGGGGGGGGGGCAGGGCGGAGGCAGATTTGGCTCCACAGGCAGATCTGGGGCAGCAGGAGCAGCTGTTTCATTTCTTGAAGGCCAGATCTGCTGCCCTGTGGATCCAAGTTGCCTCACTTTGCCTCATGGGTGGGCCAGCCCTAATGTGACCCATCCCTTTGTAAAGGGGGTGTGATTTGATGAAGGATAAAAGTTAAAGACAAACCCTCCTTCCTCCTACCTGCTGCTTTCTGCTCCTCAGCCCCAGCCCCTGCCAGCTATCTTCTAATATCCGGAGCCAGTTGGAGGAAAAGGACTTCTAGGAATGCACTGCTTGGTGAAAGTGTGTGCTGTGTGTTTGTGAGTGTTCAGTAACCCCCCTTTAAATCACACATCCACCCCGCTTTTCACGTGCGTAGGGCAGACCTCCACTTGAAGATGCTGTGCGATGTCGCTGGTGCTGAGTGCAACCCTGACAGTCTGGCTGTGCAGACTAATTAATCCATTCATGTCAAAACTGCTTTGAGCGAAGTATTGCCTGCCACATGTTGATCAGATCGCCTGTGAACAGAATTAGTATGAAAGCCTCTTTTTCATCAAAGGAGATGCCTTGTGGCATTTAGAGTGAGAAAGCCAACCCTGTTTGAAGTACAGAAAATTAATATTCAGTAGACTTTTGAGAAGCAGCCGTTCTTACTATTGGATCATGCCATGAAGAATATAGCAGTTTCCACATGGATATGTACTTCTCTTCTTCATGGAGAAGAGGTCCAGCTCAATGAGCCCTACATCTTCAGATGTTACCACCAGTTACTGTGGCACAAATCACATGGAAGGACTTTTGAATGTGGACTTCAGGGCAGCATCTCACTTGATGGACGCTTGGCTTTGTGTTCAGCAGGAATCTTCCTTAGATACTCTCGTCTCCCAGATCCTAGATATGGGTAACAGAAAAATAAAAACAAACCTGTACAATCCCTCCTTTCCCAGAAAGCCAGGAAACACAGAGAGAAGCTGGAGTAGGTCCAATACTGCTATACCCAGCACAGTACTAAGATGGCAGGGACCGCCTAATACTTTATATCTCAGCTCTATCCCCGAGATCACCAGCAGGAGTGTCATTGGTTGTCCCCTGAGTCGACATCAGCACAAAACAGAGCCTTCAGCACCATCAGCCTAGTATGATGGAAGTGTCTGGCCATGAAGATACAGCAGCACCTTCACATGCCTGCTGACCACTCTTTTACTCCACCAGGCTTAAGCAGGCAATTAAGAACACATAGTTCCATCATAGTTAGCTGTTGGTCTCTGATTTTAAATACTTACGGGTTTTCATTACATATAGGTATTATTGTATTATTGAAGTTCTTTTATGATATGTTGTTGTTGTTTAGTCATTTAGTCATGTCCGCCTCTTCGTGACCCCATGGACCAGAGCACGCCAGGCACTCCTGTCTTCCACTGCCTCCCGCAGTTTGGTCAAACTCATGCTGGTAGCTTCGAGAACACTGTCCAACCATCTCGTCCTCTGTCATCCCCTTCTCCTTGTGCCCTCCATCTTTCCCAACATCAGGGTCTTTTCCAGGGAGTCTTCTCTTCTCATGAGGTGGCCAAAGTATTGGAGCCTCAGCTTCAGGATCTGTCCTACCAGTGAGCACTCAGGGCTGATTTCCTTGAGAATGGAGAGGTTTGATCTTCTTGCAGTCCATGGGACTCTCAAGAGTCTCCTCCAGCACCAGAATTCAAAACTTTTATGATATAGGGGTATGTAAATATTTTTCAAATAAATAAATAAATAAATGAATAATATTGATTCAGCAAAGCTCTCTCTACTGGACCTGGACTGGACCAAAAGTGCATGTGGTGTTAAATTTACGACTCCCACAGAAAACAAACAGCAACCATGTGTTTAATTTCCTCACACCACTCTGTAATGGCTAGGGGAACTTAGCTGTGTCCTGATGTCAGGACCTCGGGCACTTTCCCTAACCGCCAGTGGCGGATGAAGGGGGGTGCGGCCCACCCTGGGTGTCGTCACTGGTGTGTGTGTGTGTGACAAAATGAGTTAAAAATAAAAATAAAAAATTGGGCTCACAAAACTTTTTAGGAGTGACGTGGTGGCTTAGGCACCTGCAGGTTCTGCGCTGCCTGAAACAGTAGCGTGGGACTTGCATCTGCCTACTGCCTCTCCCTCAGCCGCCCTACAGCTGAGGGGGATGTGGCGGAGAGGTTCCAAGCACCGGAGAGGCTCACCCCGCCCCCATAGCAGATTACCCCAAGCCCACGGGCAGCTTGCCCCGCCCCCATGGATGCAGATTGCCCCGCCTCCAGCTGCAGGACACGCCCCCGCACCTGGTGCCTGAGCGGCTAGCTATGCCGCTGCAATGCACACCCCACTGGCTGCCACTGGCAGACATGGGGGAAATGGTATTGGGACACTGATAAGCTGACCTAGATGTCACAGAAGAATCAAGGGCATGGTTGCTATTTTCAGCATAGTCATGAATTTAACATAATGTATAATTAGTTCTACTCGAAGACATTTACAGCTTACAGTTGGAAATGAAAAAGTGGGGCCAACCTGGTTTTACTGTTGCGCATACTCTCATTGGAGCCAGGGTTAACTGTGGCTTCCTGTGGAGTGCACCTCCAGCAACCAGCCCGTGGTTGGTGCTGTGCAATGTTTGCCCAAATGTCAGAGCTAGCCACGGTGATATTGCATTTGGACGACTGTCATGTGCTCTATGTGGGGCTGCCTTTGAAGGGTGCTCAGAATGCCACAGCTGGTTCACAATGACACAGCCAAGCCACTGACTGGAGCTGGTTGCTGGGATCATGGGACTCCTGAGTTACAAGAGCTGCACTGGCTACCAATCTGGATTTTTAGGTACAGTTGAAAGGGCTGTTTAGGACATATAAAGCCCTGCATGACTTGGGATGGAGTTATCTGAAAGATCATATTCTCCCATCCCACCAACATCTCCAATGTGCTTGATGGGATCTTGAAAGAGGGATTTCTTGGTGGCTCTAGGGATTCCTGACAAAGGAAGCCCTCCTCCGATCACCTTCTGTTGGCTGGCAAATATATATTTTTATTTAGAGACTCTTTTGGTCTTGTGAACTGACTTGTTATGGCTGTAGTAAATGAGCAGTTTGGCTTTTCCCCTATTGCTTTCATTGATGGCTTACCAACCTGCTGTTATGTTTTGAATTTTATTTTTCCTGTTGCCAGCTGCCTTGAGCACCATTTGGTGGAAAGGTGGGATTTTGGATGCTAATTTAACCAACAAATCATTTCTGAAAAGGCTTCCAGATTGCCATGGCTGGGTGGAAGCTGGTAACCAAGGTTACCCGTTTGCTATTGCTGCTACTGTGTCTTTAACAGCCACTTGACGTGCTGAAAGCAGAACAAGCCCTTTTCCTATACCAGAAAAATATTACCTCCTTATTTCTGCAGAATAGGCTGCCTGCTAAAAAATGCAGTTGCATTAAAAAGATATGGGGCCCCTCCTAACAGCTCTTAGAAAGCAGACATAGGAGCCCCCTGACAGTATCTGGGTATCTGGACATGTGTGGCTCAGGGAATGCGCTGCCTCTGAGGTCCTCTCCTGCGGTCAGCTGCTACTTCATCCAAGCAAGAAGCAGTGCTTTGGGCAACAGCTTTATCTTCACATATTAGCAGGTGTTGCTAATTATTCTTTATACTGTGAAATACTTCACCTGCTTTGTTATTGTTAACTTAACTGTTAATAAAAACAATAAACATGAAAAAGCTTTCCTAAACAGGGCTGCCTTCAGCTGTCTTCTAAAGTTTGTATCTCCTTAGATCATATCCTTGGCTTGGGAGTTGCGTAAACTCCACACCCTCCAACGTTCCTCCATTGAAAATAGGACTTCCCACTATCCCATCCAACATCTCTCTGACGTCCGAAGGAATAGCAGGACATTCCAGAATCAAAGCAGAAACCAGGACAGCTTCTTTATCGGCTTGTCTTTGTTCTTACTTTTATTATGTATTTTGTGTTTTTTATATTGTGATTTTATGTTGCGTGCTGCCCTGAGATCTATGGGTATAAGGTGGCTTGCATACTAAAATAAATAAATAAGTGCCCAGTTGCTACATGTAATAATAGAGAGAGGGCTATTCTAAACCTTTCCGCTTACTGTAGAAATTGCCTACCTGGAGTGAGTCGTGTGAGAGAGGGAGCTGTCAAAAACAAGACTTTATTTGCTGTCTCAAGCAGCAGAGTTCAGAATGCTACAGTGTTAATCCACCACCGTTCGCCATAATGTGTAGATCTCTTCTGTTTTGCAGAATCCATCTGGAGGGGAGAATTCAGCCAATGTTGTTCTGATCTCTGGACAAGGACAGAAATATATTTGGTCGCCTGAGCAAGGTTCAGTTTGTGCACAGATATGTGTGAATATTATACATGCTGGGGCTGCCCACAACCTGTATGCACGCAAAGACATATACCTGAATGTACCTATGCCCTGACGGTGCCCTCAGCGCCCTGTTTTTTCAGGGTACAGACTGTGCATTGAGAGAGCAAAGCACATGTTTGCCCTGTGGATGGGAGCTCAGATACGTTGAGGGGGGTTTGGGCCTGACCGAACCCTTCAAGCATAGATTTCAGTATGTTTTGACCATCCACCCAGTGCTTTTTTGTGCACTGAAAATAAACACATGGAATTGGAAACCTCTGTTTATTCCAAATATTAAACTGTTTTCCTTTGCAGCTGAAAAAAATGCTTCCTGTTCCTCAATAATAATAGAAGCACAGTTGCCTCTAGTCACTGCAAAATGTTACACCACCAGTAATTTATATTTCATGAGATTGCACTCAAGGGGATGACTAGTAAAAGGGTAGCCTGTGAAATATTTAAGAATCTGCTATATTTCAAAGATCCTTAGGGATCTGGCAAGTAGCATCACCTGAAGAGTGATCACTCTGCAGCCAGAATGGAATAAGGGACAAATCCCCCACAACCTCTCACCTACAAAGCCAAATGTCAATCACAAGCCATACAGGATGAGCTCAATAAACAGTCTGTTTTTGCAGCTTTATTGGGAGGGCAAAAGAGGTGTGTCTGTGTGTGTCAAACACATGGCAGCCCACAACATATGCCTGGTGGGTTGTTTTCTGATTGTCGACCTGAATTTGACACAGAGGAGGAAAGCATAGCATTACTGTGTCTGCTGCCCCGTTCCTTCGTACATAATAGTAGCCCAATATACAGCAATTAAGCTGGTGAATCTTAGCCCATCCTTTTATCTCAGTGCTTGGTGCAAAAGCTTGATCTGCCTAATTTCTGTGTCTCAAAGGATGCTGTGCTTAAAGGCGCAAGTACAGGATCAAACAGAGAGTTGGGCAGAGTGAATGGAAAGTCACTGGTGTTGCAAATGTTTACTGGCTACTGATTCTTGGCAGCTTTATCTGCAGACATTAATAGGTGATTGTGCCCATCTCCATGCTATGAGAGGCTGCACGACTCTTTCATGTAAATCAAGCTGCTGTCCAGGACATAAGAGCAACCAAGCTGTGCCAAAAAATTCTCCCACATATTTTGGCAATTGCTGTTAATTAATGAGAAAAGAAATGACATTGAAAATTATCAAAGGGGGGGGGGTATTCAGTGAAATTTTCATGGGTGCAGGGGCGTCGACTTGGGCCCCAGATTATGGGTGTCCAGTGGCACCCATGATGTAATGTGATGTCATGACGTTGTGACATCAGGGCCTTGGAGGTCACGTCCAGGCCTTGTGAGACCTCCAGCATGGCTTCCAGTTTCTACGAGAAGTCGTGTTGGAGGCTTCACAGGGCCTCGGACGTCGCCTCGGAGGTGGCGCCTGGTTGCCTTCTTCTGAAAGCGCCCAGCTGCTTCACTAGTTAGAGCTAAGCATAAAATGCTGTGTTTGATAAAGGGCTTGGAAGGGTGACTTATTCCATGGGGGGAGGATAGGAAGAAAGAGCAGAGAAACATCTCAACAGCATGTCCTGCAATTTGTGTGTAGTGAAAAAGACCCGGGAGCTCTGGAAGCCTCTGGACAGGGATGACTTGAGATTTGGAAGGAGGGAAGAAGATTTATTGGTAATTCTTGGCTTTTTAAGCTTTGTGTTTAAGAATTCTACTCAAGGTGTACAGCTGATTAAACATAGCAGTTTCTATTCCAGTCTCAAAAGTTTGGCGCATTGCCTCGACAACCTTTCCCTCTTTTAATGCTCCTTAGTTCAGTGATATTTGCAGCATTAATCAGGATATTAACCAGGATATTAATCAGGATATTACATTTCCTGATTACTAAAAGAATTTTTAAAAATGGCTTTTATTGTACCTTGAAGCGCTATTGTGATATGAGCTTCCCAAGGAATCCAAGGAGGTGAGATGACAGATTTGCTTCCCCAAATCTCTCCCTGCCACTTTCCCTCCCCTCAGGCGCTGACCTTCCTTCTCCCTCCCGGTTGCTCAGTGATGCTGAGAACATAGCTCTGGAACTCTCTGCCTCAGAGCCAGATATTATTACCTGGGTTGCTTGCTGTGGCCGTGGCAAGCGACTTTTAAAAATACTGCATAAACTGTCATAATGGTTGAAAGCTCATGATTTATTAGTACCTGGCCATTGACATGGCTCAGGGGTGTTCAGGGACACTCCAGGCAGCCTTGTCCCCAGTGAGGAAAAGGAGCAGCTGCCCTGGGCAGCCGGTGGGGGGTTATTCTGAGTGGCTGGGGGGGGGGAGGAGGAGGAGAAGCGGCTGAGCAGCCCATGGAGGATGCGATGCAAGCAGAGGGGCAGAAAGTGAAGCAGCAGGAGGAAAAGCCATCACAGTCTGCCTGGTGGGAACTGGCAATAGGATATTGTAAGGTAAAGGTAAAGGTACCCCTGCCTGTATGGGCCAGTCTTGACAGACTCTAGGGTTGTGTGCTCATCTCACTCTATAGGCCGGGAGCCAGCGCTGTCCGGAGACACTTCCGGGTCACGTGGCCAGCGTGACAAGCTGCATCTGGCGAGCCAGCGCAGCACACTGAACGCCGTTTACCTTCCCGCTAGTAAGCGGTCCCTATTTATCTACTTGCACCCGGGGGTGCTTTCGAACTGCTAGGTTGGTAGGCGCTGGGACCGAGCAGCGGGAGTGCACCCCGCCGCGGGGATTCGAACCGCCGACCTTTCGATCGGCAAGTCCTAGGCGCTGAGGTTTTACCCACAGCGCCACCCGCGTCCCAGAGGATATTGTAGTTCTACCTAATCCTCTAGAGACCCATGGGTGTGGGTTAACAACAAAAGGAAAAAATGGCTGGGGCCTGCTTTTAAAATGCAGGGCTTTACTATTTCTCCTACGGGAGAAAGCACCACCAAGTGAAATTAAATTCCCATTGTTAAGCAGTTTAGTGAAACTTATGAATATAGGCTATTAAACCTCATTTAGTTCGTTTGGCTGCCTGAGGCAGCTGACCCCCTTTTACCCTCTTTTCAATAAATAAATCACAGCCTGTGGAGTAAGTTTACTTACAGTTTCTCGGTCTCAGACATGCATTTTCCTTGTGCAGCAGCAATACAATAATGCAGGTAAATGCAACAAAGCAGCCTCAGATATGTTTCTGAGGCTGGGAGCTAAGTTGAGGCGCATTTGCCTCTAAGACTTGCGCGCGCGCGCACACACACACACACACACACACAAACCCAGAGAGAGAGAGAGAGAGAGAGAGAGAGAGACAGGCATCAGGCATCAGGCATTACTTCCTCCCTCTCAGGAGAAGAAGGGACGTGACCTGAGCCTGCTCTAGAGCTTTGTGGTCCTTCATACCTTCATATATTAACTAGCAAATATGCATTGTTAGGTTTGGCGGCAAAAACCTCCCATGCTGCCTGACACTCAGGCCATGCTATTCTGCTGGAGACTCGGGTCCCACCTGCACTATATATTGAAAGCAGCATCATACCACTTTAGTCATGGCTTCCCTCTAAAAATCCTTGGAACTGTGGTTTGTTATGGGTGCTGAAAGGGGTTAAAAGGTAAAGGACCCCTGACCATTAGGTCCAGTCGTGGCTGACTCTGGGGTTGCGGTGCTCATCTCGCTTAACTGGCCGAGGGAGCCGGCGTACAGCTTCTGGGTCATGTGGCCAGCATGACTAAGCCACTTCTGGCGAACCAGAGCAGCGCACGGAAACGCCATTTACCTTCCCGCCAGAGCGGTACCTATTTATCTGCTTGCACTTTGACGTGCTTTCGAACTGCTAGGTGGGCAGTTAGGTGTTAGGAGACCCCCTATTCCCCCATAGAGCTACAATTCCCAGAGCAGTTTAACAAACAAATCCTTTTTTCATGGCACAATACAGGATTCAAACGGCCCAGTAATGATAAAAAAAAAACACCAATGTATTTTTTCTTCTATTGTCTCTGCTTCCATCTTCTACTGTGTTTAATGTTAGCACCCCAAAGTGTGAATTGGTTTCCAGACACATTCACTTTGGTAGAGCTGACCCTATCAGAATATCACTCAGGAATACAATTAAGTTAGCCTTCAAAATAATAAATCTTCTTTTAATCATCAGAGATTTTTTTTTTTTAAGAATCCAAACAGAATTACCGGTATGTGCTTCTGTCTGCATATTTTGTTTTAGCATTGCAAATCCACCACTAGGTGGCATTACAGCAGCAGAAATCATTTGAGGGCGGCACTCCGCAATTGTTTTCATATTCTGTATTTTTAAGGTAAACTTGCCTGGTCTTCAGGGTTCCTCCCCCCCCCTCGGGGCAAAGACCCAGAAGCATGGGGCTGACCCTGAGGGCCCGTCTTCAGCCTTATCCGCCCCTCCCTTATTCACCCCTCCAGCCTCAGTGTCTTCTCTGTGGAAGAAAATGATGGTGAGGCCAACACAAATTACATGCCTTGGTAATACACTGGAAATCAGTTGATAATTCTGTACTGGTGATTGTGAGAAGCTGGGATGGAGGCTTTAAATCACTTTGGAACAAAACGAAACAAGTGTCACTTCTCCCCAAAAGCAAAACCCCTCTTCTCAAAATTTGGACATTTTCAGCAAATACTTTGACTTATGTGTGTAGGACCCTGTGCAAAGGGGAATTTTGGACACAGGTTGTGTGTGATTGTTGGGGAGGAACCTGGTTTCTTTCTCCCAGCCATGCTTTAATTTCTACCCTGCCTGGTCCTTTGGTGGGTGGAGTGTGAGAACTCACTTTGACCGTGAGGGGGCAGTGGCTGACTGAAAGTAAAAGAGCACATTGCCAAAATATTGGCAGGAAGATGAATTTTAGGAAACACCCAGATTGAGGAAATTACCGTAGTTATTCTGAGAAGAAGAGAGGAAGCTCACTTGGGGAAAATTCAATGAATTTTATATGTTCGTTAACTTCTTTCCTCTGTAATAATAAACTGATACATGCTATGAAATCTTTGACTGTAAGATCAAGATGGCTTTCATGCCCCAGTAAGATTTTAGTCTAAGAGTTGTTTCAGATCAAACTGTGGCTCTGGCAGCCCAGTGCGACATGTACCCTCCATTTCCCCAAGGTACAGAGTAGGGATTGTGTATGTGTGTGTGTGTTTGTGTGTGAAATTCATTCGCTTCAAATTTTACTGTGCGTCTACCTGATTCATACTTTCCAAACCAATGCATAAGCTGAAATACAGTTATCCCTGGAAATTTGCACTTCTCAGAATTTTGTAATGCAATTCTCAAGTAAAAAGATGCACATAAG